CCCGTCCCCCGAGGCTTGACCTCGCAGCTGCTTCTGGCTAACCGGTAACAGCCGCACGAGCGTCCCCCTTCCTTCGGTTTTCTGGCGGCCCCCACAACTGTCCGTAGTTTATTCAGTCACGCACACACCCGAGCATACACGCGGGTCACAACAAGCACGCCTACTTTAGGGCTATTTGAATGCCCCACTTCTCGACCGATGCAGCAAAGATCTCTGCAGGCGACATCCCTTCGGCAATTGCAAGAGACTAATAGCAGAACACTTGAACCTGCTCCGCAATCCGAATGAAGCAGCTGTTACCACTGTCTCAAGCTCTCTCAGGTCTGGCTGGACGAAATCAATACTAGCCCTGGCTTTGCCAGTGGCCACTACCACCTGGGACAGCAATTGGGAGTTCTGTACATAAATATCCCTCCTTCCGGTGACTTCTGTCTTTTAACTTCCAACCTGGGATTTGGACTGATGATTGTAGTGATCCGAGTACAACCCACTACCTAGACCCCTAAAAAGTAACTAAAATCACAAAATCTGAAGTTTCGGAAAGAGCCATACGCAATCATCAAAAGAGCCATATATGGCTCGCTAGATATTAAAATGGCTTTGGAATTGTATGTGTATCATGTGTTAATGCGAATATTAACCGTCGCAGTTTGGGTTCACGACAATGATAACGTGTATGCGCACTCCTGTATGCGTTGTAGTACACCTCTGCACAACACAATGTTTTGGATTATATTTCGGAATTTTTCCCATCGGATATCACTTTTCATCTGCTATTTCTGAAGTGCACGTTGAAATCATACTAATATAAAAATTATTTTAATTTCCTTGGCAGTTTTCACTTACCGCGATCAATTACGAAACAGAGTCCATCGTAATTTTTCGGGCAAAGTTTATTTGACAGAAAGACGTGTTATGTGTGATCTATCTAACAATATTAAAGTCTAATATTCTTGAAGTTTAAACTTGCCCGGAACTCTCGAGACCTGCAAAAGGTCGACTAGTATCTGAGCATATTTAATAAAATTAGCACATTTGAATTAAAATTTGAACGGGTAGGGACACTGTTAAATCATTGGATTCAGGAGCTTGAGGACACGGTCATCTTGTCCGTCTCCGTTGAGTCCGAGATTCACAGTCTGTTTATGGATTCCATTCTTGCATTCGTTGTCACGTTTGAAGAAGCCCGAAACGCAACCCACTGGGATCCACCGTTAAGATATGTCATTAAGTACCACTGCAGTCAGTTACCCACACACATTTCTGGAGATTGCAGCAGTTTCACCAACGACGACATACTTTGTCCAACGTCAACGACTACCTCCTGTTCTACAAACATGTCGTGATTCCACAGAATCTACAAGCAGGTGTCTTCGGACAGTTTGACACTGGATATCCGGATATCAATCGTATGATGGCTCTCGCTTGCAGTCATGTAAGTTGGTCTCACATGAACCAACGATGCGAACAGCTGGCCTGCCCATGCACCAAATGCGCCTTCGCATCAATAAAGCCAACGACGATAATCTATCTATCTACTCAAGGCATGGCCTGTTCTACAAGTTCCATGGCCCAGGGCTCACTTCGATTATGCTGTGCTGCTCAATGACCAGAACTTTCTCATCGATGTTGACGCATGCAGCAGATGGCCGGAAGTAATTATCGTGGAATATACGACAGCTGGAGCGACAATCAACACGCTTCGATGGCTGTTAAGTGAATTTTGTTGTACCGAAACTTTAGTGAGCGATGATGCTGGTCAATTAACATAACCGCCTTCGCCCGATTCTGCTAGCAGTTGGGCAGTAATGATTTGCGTTCGCCCCCATATCACTCGCAGTCCAATGGCCGGGTTGAGCCATTCATCGACACTTTCAAATGGGCTCTCCTAAAGTCAACAGGGAAGGGCATGACAAAAAATATTCTTTAACTGTTGCTATTGAACTGTCGAGCCACCCAAAACCCTAAAGCTCCAAACAATGTCTCTCCTGCAGAAGCTTTCATGCAGATGCACATCATTCGACGTAAATCGTCCGCTGGCATCTTTCGGTGTTGGCGATGAAACAGTTCATCCAACGTCAGTGAAACGGCAATTCACCCGACGATACAGAGCAGAACAACGATTGCTCCATCCGGGCGAGATGGTGTTGGCAAAGGAGTACAGGAATAATAAAGAAAAGTGCGTGCTTGGACGTATTCCCCGAAAGTGTGGTGACGTCATCTATGAGATTCGGGTCAGACCGGATATGCTGTTTCGCCATACCTATCGACTGAAACATAAAGAATGTATTGACGTGCCAAACCCAAACCCAAACTTATCACTTGAACAACTAAAAACACAAAACCAAAACAAGAATCCACAGTTTCAATATCACGCCGATTTCCTCAAGCCTCCAGGCGATTGAGCTGAAAAAGAATGCAAACCATTCCATTGGAATTGAACCCGCGTGTCAAATTGTACATTTCGGCTCAAAGGGAAACTGCTAGGAGCCAGCCTAACACACTCGATCTCACGCCCAGCTATCGAGTTGCTATCCACTTAGGTCTTTACTATGCCTGCCGGGTGAGCCAGAAGGCCAACCGAGTAGCTAGCCTCATGAGGACCTTGATTTTTCTGAGCGTGTAACGCTTTGTTTTCCTTAAATAGGCTGTACTAAGCATGCTAATGTAGCAGACAAGAAAACTGAATTGGGTTGTTTGAACGGGGTGACACTTTTACGCGCGCGGATCTGGGACGTAGATGTGTAACTCTCGTGTTGGTGAAAGTAGCCGGTGCCCTTTCCATTCTACTGCCGACCCCCTTCCCGCAACTCAATTCAACTCTCAGCAATATGTCGGCATCGCCACAACCCTTCCCTACAGTTGCGCACAGCGCTGTAATCCCCACCGGTTATGTAACGGACATATAAGTATCACCCTCTGTCCAGACAGGCCATCCAATGTTGTAATACATCCCTTTTGTAGATCCTTTCATTACTATTCATTCCATTTCTATCCATCGGTATTATGCTTACGTCTTGCCCTCCTTTATCTTATGAATGTGCGTTGATGGCATAACAGCTCTATTTAGCTCTGCCTTGGTCCGGATTTATCCACAGCTCCTGATGACACTCGGTGTGTGCCAACCTCGACATCCTTGGCTCGTTACACTAATAGATTTCGATTTCTGTGTGCTTGCTGTTTTTTCTCCTTTGGGAATTCGAGGCATAATTAAAATAACAACGGACTGTGAACTTTTAAAAACATCAATGCATGAACCAGCTTTAGAGAGAACCGTTTGGGCAGAACCAGATGCAGGGAGTAGGGATTAATAAGTGGGGCTACATAAGCTTCTGTTGCCTTCTTCTCTACGTCCTTTTTTATCAGCCTTCAAATTCGCCAGAGATAATAAGAACAGCAAAAGAACAAATAGGAGTGATAAGGGCCAGCAGACACTTTATTATCAGTAGTAAAAACCAGGAGTTACTGAACAAGACTATCTATTCCAGGTCAATATATGTGTATCGATTAGATAAGCTCTCGTCCAAGGCCCTAACCCCATTCAATGGTTGCCCTGTCCTTCCTTCAACGTAGACCATTATTTTGGCGGAGCAGCGTCTTGTGATACTTATACACTCGATTGCACAGCCAACATTGGTTCGTTTATGTGCGATATAAGCATGCATTCGTAATTAATAGGACCATTTTGGCACCGGGTGCGATGCATTACAGCTAACTTGTCAATTGTATTTAATCGATCCTTGCGGTTCACGAGACTGTTGCGCATGGTATATTTGAGTTGGCATGCAATTCAAACGCATGGGTCAACAGTAATACGCTCTGTCACTTCTGAGTTAATATTGCCGATGCATTGGAACAGGCTACGTTGTAGATGCGCGGGATAAACAAGGAGGCCAAAGCAAATCAAGCAGACGCTACTGTGGATGGACACCACATAACAAAATCAACAAGTTAAAGGGGTATTTTTGCACGCCTGGGCGCGGATTAAGGTCACACTAGGCACCTGCGC